CTGGCAGGCTGAGGGGGGAAAAAACCTCATGGACACCTAAATGGGATTAATTAATGAAGGAGGAGGGGCTGGAACCTGGTCACCTGTCAACGTTGCCAGTAAATCACACACACACACACACACACACACACACGCTGGGGACACACACACAGGTGAAACACACGCAGCACCCCCCCTCCGGTCACCTGTCAACGTTGCCAGTAAATCCCTATACACACACACACACACACACACACACACGCTGGTGAAACACACGCAGCGCTGAAGAAAACCCCCCCCGTGATCTGCAGCTCCAGCTGCAAACACGTCCCCAGTCCTGCAGCAAGGAACGCTGTAGATATTAAAAAAAACCCGACAACAAACCCCCCCTCCCCCCAAAACCAACGCTCCAACGTGCTGCTCGTGCACCAAAAGCTCCTTTTTAACCCCCCCAAAAGTTTGAGTGGTGTCACCGTGTTCCGCAGAGTGCAGAGCGAGTCTTGTCGACAGGAGCTCCACGTCCCAGATCGTGGGGGGACACCCGGCTCCCCGCGGGGCCTGGCCCTGGACTGTCAGCCTCCAGATCCGCCAGTTCGCCGCCAGGTTCACCCACGTCTGTGGGGGGGTCTTAATTAATGAGAACTCGGTGCTCACGGCGGCCCACTGCATCAAGGGAAGGAGGTATGTGCTCGTGGTAGGGCCTCTTCTTTGTCGAGGTGACAAGAGGAGGGCAGAGCAGCACCTGTGGTGCCTCAGGACAAAAGGCAAAATCCGTGGGATTTTGGACTGAGCTCACAGCAACATTCAGACCCAACCTGTGCAGCTCCTGCTCGCTGATACAGCCCAGACGAAGGACTGGTTGTGGCTCTAAGGACAAAAGACTGTCCCTTTTGTCACCCTGGTCACATGTGGTGGTGGCTTTTTTTTTTTTTTTTTTAATGGAGCTGATTTTCCCAATTAATAGATTTTTCTAGACTAGGAAAGCTCCCTGCACACGGAAAATGTCCCAACATTTAGATTAGAAACATCACGATTCATTAGTTTTGACACCATTTCCATCTTTCCTGTTTAGCAGAACCAACAGCTTGGCACTTTACCTTTTCTTTTTGATAATGTGGTAATAAAACTCCTCGGAACAAGCTTTTTAATTGTCCTCACAGCAATTCTGCTGCATGTCAGCTGCTCCATCACTGCTGCCTTTCCTGTAGCCTTTAACATGGTTGCACAATCTGCACACTCCATCCAAATTCCTATCAACTGTGTTAACATAACCATGACCTGGGGGAAACTGAGCTGTAAAAACCTCTGAGAACTTTGGAATTTTATCATTCATCGGGACTTGGTTAGACCAGCTGCTCGTTTCTTTAAATGCACTTTTACAAACATTAATTTGGAGAGGCTTTATATCACAGACAATAATTTTTCCCTTCCACTCAGGAGAATTTTTTATAGCCTGCCCTTTGCTCACCACAGGCCAAATTGAATTCCCACTTAATAGCATCACAGGTTTTTTTCAACATACTTGAATAGAAATTTGGTCTGAATTACTCTGGCCCCAATTCTGAATTTAATATCGAGTTGATCTCATTATTTGTAACTTTTAGTTAGAGGATTTCCCAAATCTAGGTACAATAAGTGTTGTGGGTTTAAGGCTACTTCCCTTCTGCAAAATAAATCCATGTTTTGATCTTTTTCAAAAGAGTATCTCCAGGTGGCCTCTGCTGAGAGGGGGTGGGAAGCAAAACCATTAATCAGAGTCATAGAATCCTCAAGGTTGGAAAAGACCTTCAAGATCATCAAGTCCAACCACCCACCCTACAACCCCCAAACACTAAATCATCTGGATTTGCCCAAACAGCCCCAACAACCAGCATTAGGAAAACTGAGCCTTCAAAGCAGACAGGATGGTAATTAACCAAAGTTATTCCAGAAAATACTTACAACAGAATTCCAGAGTATACAACAGTACATTTCCAGAGGTGTAAGCCAGGTGGTTAAACCAACGCCACCAAGAAATGTATTTAACAGAACAGGTAAAACCACATGAATTCTCTCTTAGGAAGCCATATTTCTGGAAAGTAGTTCTGGGTGTGCAGAACCTCCGGAAACCCGGCAAATACGGAACCACGAGGAGCATCCGGAGCGTCATTGTGCACCCAAACTTCAACAGACAGACCTTTGACAACGACATCGCGCTGCTGGAGCTGAGCTCTGCTGTCCAGTACAGCAGCAACATCCAGCCCATCTGCCTGGGCCCCCCAGACCTGCCCCCCAACACCCACAACCACACCGAATGTTTCATCAGTGGCTGGGGACGGACGTCAGAGAAAGGTAACAAATCACTTGCCTTGGCCAGCAAGTTACAGCCACACAACTCATCTGGTGTCCTAATCCCTCCAGCTCACTGAGAATTGCTTTGTTCAGGTCACAGTCTCATCACACCAGATCATTAAATCCTTCAGCAAGTCAATCTCTGCTTTCAGGGTTTCTTCCATTGAAAGCAGATGAGGTCTACACAGATAAAACCAAAGGCAAACGTTTTCTAGCCCTTCTTCCAGGTGTAACATGAAATCAGGAGGATGACCCAGCCTGTCTTGCAGATCCATGGTACAGCCATAGACCCAGCCTGTCTTGCAGATCCATGGTACAGGCACTCTGTGTTGTCAGCTAGAAAGAACTTTCTGACTTGAAAAACAGCAGTTGTGAGGCTGTACATTGTGAACTCAGGGGTGCACTCCCTCACATTCCCTTTTTAATCACAAGAAGCACCAACTTGGTCTGATGTCAGTAGGTGATGTGCATCCTGCCAGTGTGGAAATTTCAAGGACAGCTGGGGATCATGGAAGCTTGTTTGATAAGTCACCTCTGAGGTTCTGAGCAAGGCTAGCCAGAACTATTGTCATCATCCATGTTTCTGCAGAGTAAGAACTGCAGAAACTCCATCAAATCCAAGTCTGCAAATCCTCAACCCACTGAAGTTGAAACCCTTTAGGAGGCACAATCTGATACAGGTGTGATACAGATCACACCCCTGTCTGCACACAAACACCCTTAAACTGCCTGACCAGGAAAAAAAGGGCACAGAAAGAACTGCTACTCACAACAGCATAAATATTTTACCTTTTAAAATGCTGTCTTTCCATTAAAGGTAAAACTACAGAAGTGTTACAAGAAGCACAAGTAGAAATCATCCCTTCCAGTGTCTGTAACCACTCAGATGCCTATGGAGGGCTGATCACCAAGAACATGATTTGTGCTGGCTCTAAAACTGGAGGCGTTGATGCCTGTCAGGTAAGAATGAACATTGTGCCCCACCTGCCCCACCCAAGCCAGAGTCTGGGCATCATAATGACCAGCATTTGTAGCATCATTCATGAGAATTAGTGTTCTAAGCCAAGGCAGCAGCACCCACCATCACCCATTTTCTCTTGGTTGGTCGGTGTGCTGCTCTCCAGTGTTCCTGTTGTCATTACTGCTGATGATACAAAATTTATTAAACAAAGCGGGTGCATTACTGACTTAATTCTGCCATGTTCCCTGGGAGGGAATCTGTTACTGGTTGTTTTATCTTGCTTCCAGGGTGACAGTGGTGGCCCCCTGGCCTGTTACCAGAGAGACACCAACGAGCACCACCTCATTGGCATCACCAGCTACGGGCAGGGCTGCGGCCGCGCCCGCTTCCCTGGGATCTACGTCCGTACGTCCCAGTACAGAGGATGGATTGAATCTGAACTTCTGTTGAGAAACAAGGCTGGGAGACCCGTGAGCATCTCACTTCCCATCCTTCTGACTGTGATTCCCACAATCTTGGTGCAGAATTTCTAGAGGGACAAACCCTTTGGGAAGAGCCAAGTCCTGCTCCGGAATAAATCTGAGAGACAAAGGACACACACTTACTTGTTGGAAGTCATGTTTGCAGTTGTTTTATCTTTCCTGTTTTCTGCCTTTGATTTCCAGTCGCAGCACAGGAAACTATAACGGCCTTGACCCTAGTAGTGAAATCGAATATAGAAACGTTACCGACTGAAAACACTTTTCCCTGCCCAATTTTTGCCTTCCCAGCAATCGGAAGCTCAGGTACCACTTCGTGACGCTGCCCGGGTTGTGTCGCTGGCAGAGACGCTCCCTCTGCTGGGTGACTACGAGCAGAGCACCGAGTCTGTGCGGCTCACACGGGCTCAGCTACTGGAAACTAAACAGGAAAAAAAAATAACCCAAACCTGCAGAAAGAGGAAGGGTGTTCTGCACTAATTATGTTTCGTGATGACTAACATTTATGTACCGGTAACTCAGTTCTCTGGCTGCTGAGAGGACACATCTCTGGGTGCTGTTTTGTAGACTAAATATTTATTCTTGGCCACAGAGATACCAAACACTGGATGCACTTTGGCTCAGAACCACTGCAGTACAGTGTTAATTAAAAAGAAATAAGGAACATCAGAATTGTATTTTGGCAACTTTATTTACCAAGGTCAAAATTTGCAACCATCTAATTGTTTCAACAAATATTTACAATTCATATAAAGCACGTACTTTTGTTTGGAAATAACCAGCAGAACAGTATTAAGTGCTGTATCTCTTACTCTCAGGATATAGATTTTACTCTCTTACAATCTAGATTTTGAAGTAAATCCAAAATAAGTACTTCATGATAAGTGATTACTTAAAGAGCAAACCCCTGTTTAATATTTCCAGGATGAAAAATAAGCTGCTCTTTCCAAAACACTATTTTAAGAGGATAAAAACTGACTAGCATTAGGTCTGGCAGCACTACATTTGTTTCACTTGCTGAATAGAGAAAGAATTGGCCACCATGGTTTTACAGTCTTAACATTTGATAGCTTTTTTTATTATTATTCTGTATTACAAAAGAAGGTGAAGGAACAACAGCACACGGTGAGGATCAAACCCCATCCAGAGGAGTTCCCAAATTAGTTTCAGTCCTGTAGGTCAAACCCTCTCAAACATGTGCCCAAGAGCTCACACACCTGATGGGAGACAGAGTGACAAGGTCCAGTTCTCGGAGGTGCTGAGCACGTCCCAGGTGTTCATTCTTCCCAAAATTCCACTAACAGAGACAGGAGGCACCAGCTCCTCTTTTGGAGCAGTTCCCTAACATAAGGACTTTCTCAGCCTTGCTCATTGGCTTTGATGACAACACAAGCACCCTCTTTGGATGTGACAGTGAACACAACCCTGTGCTCCAGCCTGGCCTGAAGGAAACGTCTCCTGGGTCACAGCCAGAACAACCTTAGAAACTTCAGAAAGGAAAACAGATTTTTGTAGCCTACTAACAAGGTGATGGTGGAATGCAGTCTTCCTCATCCCATTTGCAAAGAGCTCTGCTTGCTAAGAAGTCCATTCATTCAAAAAAAAAGAGGAGTGAAATAAAATAGAGTGACTGACCATAGGGTGAGCAGGAGACATCCAGGGAGTGAGCACATCTCTGGAGGTCCCTCAGGGCTGCACTGGCACGTAGCACACGTGGAGCTCTTAACACCTTTTACAGCACAGGCCACAGTGTGGTTCCCACTGATAGAACTGGAAGCAGGATTCAATCCTAACTATGGAAAATAGTGTCTTTATTATTCATGCAAGAAGCACTGCATACACATGGTTCTATTTCACAGAATCACAGAATGGTCAAGGTTGGATGGGACCTTTGGGGCCACCTTGTCCAACCCCCTTGCTCAGGTGGGGTCACCCAGAACAGGCAGCCCAGGACCACGTCCAGGAGGCTTTGGAGTATCTCCAAGAAGGGAGATTCCACACCCAAAAGAGTCCTGATCACGTCAAACATTTAATTTTCACCTGAAACAAAATGATACAAACTAGAACCTCTGATAGCACTCAGACCTCACGTGCAGATATTACCAACTGTGGGGAATAAAAAGCCCTGACCTCTTTGTTTTGTTTTTGTTTTTCTTCCCAATACTCTTTAGGATCCATTTTTTTTTCTTGCAGGTTGCCCACAGACATACAAAATTAATTCAAACATCTCCTATGCCAAAGAGGATCTCATTTGACTTTGTACTATCCATAAAAATATAGGCTCGAAAATCTGGTTCACAAAATATTTCATTTGTTTACTAAAATGAAATATATAAACTGTCAAAATATGTATATAAACTGTTTCAGAATTTGCAAAGATCACAATTCAGCTACAAAATAGACCAACCATCTACCTGTTCTCAATAGAATTATTTTCTTACAAAGATACCATTTACTTTGCAAAATATCACCTACCTTACAAAATTAGCCCAGAAATTCTGCACTACTTCCAGCATACAAACCATATATTAGAACCTCATTAACCCTTTGGTATATATCTTCAGGTTTTTTTTAAATTTTATTTTCTTCTTCTATTTGGTTTAAGTGTTTCAAAGCAGAGTAGAATCTCCAGACAATAAGCAATGCATGGTTAATTGTGTATATAATCAGCACACTGTTTCTTTTTCAATTATAAATGTTTATCATGCCCAGTAACTAAGAACAAATAATTGTGAAATGGTTCTTCAAGAAACTTTTGTTCACCTGTACCTGTTCTATGACACCATAATTTAATAGAATTGGATGTGTTGAATTATCTTCAAAGACTCAACACCTTGTGTCCTGCACCTCAGACACTGCCAGGACTAAACCCTCTCACTGCTCTCCACAGATCCCTTCCAAATTGGATAAACACAGCAAACATTGGAAAAAAAAAACAACCAACCCCAGTTTTTAAAACTGTCAGCAGAGATAGAATAAACATAATTTATACCTCTAGCAAAGTAGTAGCTTTTTTTTATCATCTGCACCTGTAAAGAACAACTTACAGGCTAAAATAAAAATATTTACATACAAGTAACTGAAGGAAAAAGCAAGGATTGAAAAAGAGTAAGAAATCAAAACATATACTGGTTATAAATGTTACTAATAATGTCAACTATGGCAAGGATTCAACTTCATCTATGTTGTAACTGTCACCAAATGTTGCCTCCTTTACAAGAGGAATTTATAGACTTTTTCAACAAAATTCTCATCACCTGCCTTGTCAAACGTGACTGTCCTTGTACTGTAGATGCAATCTTGGCTTTGTACAGTTTTCCAGTTGTGCTAGCAGGAATTTGGGTGAGGTTTTCTTGTTTCCTTTTTGTACTTTGTCACCAACATGTTGTAAATAAAATCTATAGAGTCTTGACGTTGTGAAATCTAGGTAGAAAAGTTTCATTTTTGACCTTTCATCTAGTTTAAAAAAATTCAGTATAAAAAAAAAGATTCTCCTCTGTAATTTGAACAGTCCCCAGAAGTTTTACTTCCTTTTCTTACACACTTTTATGACAGTAAAGATCTTTCAAAGTTTTTAGCTCTTCAATTAGAGTTTTGTTCTGGTTTTCCAGGACTGCAACTCGATTTTCCAGACATTTCACATACTCTTTCTTCTTCCGACGACATTCCCGAGCAGCTTCCCTGGAACAGACAAGCACAAGGACTTATTCTGGATCTGGGAAGTGCCTGTTTGACCAACGTTGTGACATGGACAAACAAGAGAGGAAAGAGCTGGCACTGCAGCCATGAACATGTTGCCCAGGGAAGTTGTGGCTGCCCCATCCCTGGAAGTGTTGAAGGGCAGGTTGGATGGGGCTTGGAGCAGCCTGGGCTGGTGGGAGGTGTCCCTGCCCATGCAGGGGGTGGATCTGGATGGGCTTTAAGGTCCCTTCCAACCCAAACCATTTCATGGTTCTATGAAAAGTACACAAGGATCAGTGGAGAGCATGAACTTTAGCAGTATCTGGTAACACAGTCAATCTGCAGGGAAAACATCTCATGTTCTCTCCAAACTGCATGAGACAGAAAATGCAGCCCGGTTTGGTGGGAATTCCCACTGGTTTTAGTGGCTGGATGCAGCACACCAGCCTGGTGGCACCATCAGCTCACAAAGACTCATCATCTGTCCCCTGAAGAGACAGTTCAGCCGGGGGAACTAACAGAGAGAGGCAGCCCAGGTGCACTCCCATACCTGTTCTTCATCAGCCTTATTTCCCGTTTCAGCTGCGGATCATCGGTCTTACTGGTCTGTGACGTCAGAGTGACAGGAGATGTCATCACCACGGTCTGAGGGAGGGAGGTGGTGGTTGGGGTGGTGCGGATCTGGTAGGTCTGCATGTCCCCTGAGGCAGCTGTTGTGACAACAGCACAAGACACCAAAACGTGGTGGCGTTAGAAGGTTACGCTCAGGTTAGTGACGCGCCCCCAAAGAAGGGCAACGAAGCTGATGAAGGGTTTGAAGCAGCTGAGGGAGCTTGGGATGTTCAGCCTGGAGAAAAGGAGGCTGAGGGGAGACCTCCTCACCCTCTACAACTGCCTGAAGGGAGGTTGTAAAGAGGTGGGGATTGGGCTGTTCAATGAAATTACAAGCAGGACAAGAGGTGATGGCCTCAAGTTGTGCCAGGGGGGTTTTAGGTTGGATGTTGGGAAGAATTTATTCACTGAGAGGGTTGTCAGGCATTGGAACAGGCTGCCCAGTGCAGGGGGGAATCACCATCTCTGGAGGGGTTTAACACATAGTATGCAGGGATGTAGTTAAGGACTTGTCAGTGTCAGGTTGATAGTTGGACTCAGTGATCTTAAGGTCTTTTCCAACCAAAGCAATTCTGTGGGTACCTGTGGCCCCTGGGGGAGCAGTACTCACTCTGCACGACCACCTGGTTGCTGGGCACCAGTATCTGCTGACCGTCCGACGTCTGCGCGTACTGCAGGATTGTGGTCCCGGGCTGGGAACCCCCCGTGTTGGTCATGGTGAGTGTCTGCAGCCCCTGCACCCCCTCTGCCCCCGGGCTGGCCAGCTGCAACCCGTTGGCAGCAATGGCAACTTGAAGGGAAAGAAACATACATGAGATCATTGGTAGCTGCACCTGGTACCACACAGGTAAAGGAACATCTGCAGCTGCACATCTGCTCCCAGTGCTGGGAAATCCTGCCAGGCTGAAAGGGTTTTATCTCCCACCACCTTCAGTGTCAGATCTTGCTGCTGGGCTGTGGTGGGTGGGAGTGGTGGGAGGGGACAGTGCAGGGGTGGGCTCTGCAAGGAGGGGAGACAGCAGCTCTGGCCACAGCTCTGTGGAAACAGACTTAAGGGGCAGAAATCCAGATAGGCAAAGGTGTGAGTGAGGGTGGGAAGTGAGAAACAGCAGCACCAACACCCTGCTCAGAGAGCAAGGACGGGGAGAGGTGCTCCAGGTGCCAGAGCAGGTGGCTTTTTTGTTCACAAGCACAATGAACACCAGGTGATAAAATCAAAGGCACAAACCCTTTGTTTTGCTGCCTCCCTGATACCACAGGAACACCTTTTGCTGTGGCCCTCTGACATATACAGTGGGATCTTCACTGATCTTACATTCTAGACTAAATCTAACACTAGAAGGCTGCTACATATTTCATGTCAACATCCCCTGACTGTGTGGAAAAGTTGAGATAATGAATTTATCTGGAGTCCTTAGATCCCAGTCTATTCCCACATAATAGCAGAGTTAACTTCATCGGCTGTTAGAGAAACAACCAAAGCTTTTGAGCTTCATCTTAGTCAAATATATAACAAAAACTGTATTTTTAGATAAGCTGAATGTCATGTTAGGCAGATATTTTGTATCACATACTGTACTGTCCAGTGCTGGTCTGGTAGATGGGCGTGGGGACGGACATAGAGGTGACAGTGGAGACCCCAGGACTCTCCTCATCTCCTTTTCTATCCCGTGTATCTTCAGAAGAAAGATCTTTCAGAATTTTTCTATTAAAAAAAAGAAAGAGTTTATCAGCTCTACCAGCAAGCAAAACCTACCAGTTACTGCACCAACAGTTAGAAGGTACTAGCCCTGTTGTGTATGACAAGAATGAACACTGAAGTTTTGAACAAAGAGCTTTTGGAATGAACACTTCTGGGACCTACCGGTACGACGGGCGCCGGGCTAAGATGCCTCGAGCTTTCTGTGAGGAGCCAATGCTGTCTGAGGAGTCCTGGGAATCTTCACTCTCAGACAGGGATACCTGAGGAACACATTCCATGTGGTTATCCAGTACACTTCCAAAGAAACACCCAGAAGAGATCAGACATGATACACTTATGATATTATTCGTTACACATTTAACTGGACATGAGCTAAAGCTGCATGAAAACAACACAAATGCAGCGAATTACAGAGAAACTGGTGGATTTCCAGTTTCAGTCCTGTCTGTTTCTAGCAATTATCAGACTGTTACATGAGCAAGGTCATAGTGAAAGAGACCCCTGCCAAAAAAAGAAAGCTCGAGAGATTCTCCCAAATTATTTATCACAAGTCAACCCCCCAAAGCTGCTGTTCTGGCTGGATTAAACTGCAGGATTAATCAATGCAGTTGTGTGAAACAGCAGCGTGAAGAAAAACAAATGGTTTCTTATTTTCATTAAAATCATACAGGCTTAGCTATCTGAGAGCTGGTGTGGTCTGGAAAGGTGAGCCACACCCTCAGGGTATTTGTCTAAGGAGCTGGGAGGAAAGGAAACAGGAACACCACTTATGTACAGACACAAACACAAAATACTTGAAATCTTGTACGTAGAAAGAAGATCAGTGTCTTTTGTCGGTTGGAATATCAGAGTCAAAATACTCTTGAGGGCAGCAGCTATCAGGGAGTAAATATGCAAAGTATTATCTGTAACTTTCTCTCTATTTCACTGTGTCCTCATCCAGCTGGCAAGTGTTACTTTTTTTCTCTGATGCTCCTTATCAAACCCAAGCTAACAGAACATTTATTTGTACTTATCTGTGTGCCAGCAACAAAAAGTCAGGAAGAATGCAACATGCAGCTCTGGGAAAAGCATTTCTCACTGAACTGCTGCTACAGAGACAAAGAGAGCAACCTACTATCAACACTGGGGGGGGGGGAAAGCTGCTCATGAATTACCTTTTTTTTCCTCCTTTGAGCAACAAGGCCACAATGTTCATAAATTACAGGGAAAAAAAAGGAAAGAATTCAGTCAGTGGGGACCCTGCAACTAGAACATGGGGTGGGAAAGGGATTAGTGGAGGCTCAAGTCAGGACAACCTGCTAAGACAGATGCTTTCCTGTCTTCAGCAAAGAGAAATGTCTTTTCCAGGATCTGATGTTACAGGAGCAATGACAGCTGAAAATGCACTACAGGTTTACTTTTCATGGATTATCAATTTAATGTTGTATGAATAGATAAGGGCAGTGCAAAGGGTCAGTGACAAATGAATGCTTCTTAGCACAGTTCTGCCAGGGTAACTCCAGTGCCCAGAGGGCAGCTAAGAACTAAATGAAGTAGTTACAGACTCGAGTGCAGACTCCCCATGGCACCTCTTTGGAGAGGCTTGCACAAAAAATCACATGGCAAATGAGTAAGAGACACAAGCAGAGTCCTGAGGTACCACAGAAAGGGAGTTGCAGCCTGCACGAGGTGAGCAAGGAACAGCTCATCCACCACGCTCAGGTCTGCCCCTTCCAACACACATTCCTCCTCCTTGGGTTACTCTGTGCTCTCCTTATTTGGGTATTAAAACACTCTGGTTACTTGTCTGTTAAGGGCACTAACTAAAGAGTTCTGGGTTTGGTTTTTGGAGAATGGGAAGCAATGTCAAATAGTTTAAAACTACAAAGGCAACTTGAGCACTGCAAGTAATTTCAACATGAAGAATGAAGTATCCCCCAAATGCTGTGGGAGGCTCAGGGCCAGGGAGGCTGCACTGGGGCAGAGTTGGCTGAGTCAAACAAGCCTCTACAAGCCCTTTCATGTGCAACAGAACAGGATTGGTGGTTGGTTCACAGACATTCTGTAGTTACCTGCACTGTTGGCACCTGGGGTGAGTGGATTACAGAAGAGGACTGAGCTGTCTGAATGACCCCCTGGACCTGGACTTGTTCTCCAGGAAGCTGAACAACTGTCAGGGGAGCAGGACCTCTTAGAGACATCTACAACAAACCAAAGAATGAGTAACAGGAGCTTTTGTTCTGCAGTATCCAGAAAGTGTACATAGAAGTAGGAAAACTAGTGGAGAACATGCATCAGCTGAAGCTTCTTTTGTCTTAATTAAGTCACAGCAGGTATCCTTTCAAGATACAACTTTTTGATACATATCTGCCTGTGAAAAAGGCTGAAACAGCTACTGATTTAACTAGGTTAGGGGGGAAATCAATAGGTAGCAACATGTGCAAAATACTAAACTGCTGCAAGGTAAATCCATGCAGGTCTTAGGGAACCACAAGGAAGCAGATTCCAGAATCCCAGCACTGAAAGGCAGGGAGCACAACTGCTTTCCTGGAACTCCATCCATGTGCACAGACAGAGCCCACGTGTGGCAGTTTGCTTCTTAAAGTTTTGATTCCATTTTAAGTGTGTCTCAGATAAGCAGACAGAAAAGTGCCTAATAAGTAGCCTTGATTCTCACTACAGTTAATAGGAGCTTAGAGCCCTAGAACCTAAATCAGGGTGAAATGAGCAACAAGACTGAGGGCTCAAGACAGCTCAGACTAACAGTACTGAAGCAATGCAGAAGGTAGCAGGGATCATGTACATATTTGGTGTTCTTGTTTGATTTTTAGTTTTCAGCAACCAGTATGAGGCTTTGGTTCAAAACTTCACAGAGAAGGAATCCCAGGAGTTAAGTACAGCAAAATCTACTTAGAAAGTTCAAGGCACAAGGGCTGTAGCTGAAGGAAACAAGGGGTGAAAGCTCTGGGCAAGGAAGAAGAACAAAGAGCAGGGTTTTTTTCCAAATAAAAATTACAGCATCTATTCTTTTGTGTTTTAAAACGATCATTTTAAATACATGTTGTAGCAGAAATCAAGGTTTATTTGGCAAAATTTAATGGCTGATGCTCCCCTGACCACTTTTTACATTCTAGCAGATTTCTGGTTTTTCTGGTGTTGAACTTTTGCACTTTAAAACTGACTAAAGGAGGGCAGGTGGATGGGAAAGGAAACAATCAGTTTCCTCACCAAATTTCTTCACTACTTTTATTAATCTGAAATACATGAAAAGATGAAGGGATCATTAACACTCATCCAGCTAACTTTCCATTTCATACAACTACATATAGTACACTGGAATATGAAGTTATACTGGCAACTTGATATTAAAACAGATGAGAAAAACAGCCTGTAAGCAACCAGCAGGGTGCTTGCTGAGACTCCAGCCTGGCTTTGCCTCATGCAGTTCTCTCAATTTTGCATTAAAATCTAAATTTCCTCCAGAGGGTACAGAGTGGATGAGCTGAAAAACTCTGCTGCTTCCCAGGCTGGGCCTGTGGCTGCAGATTTACCTGGAGAGAAATACTCTTCCAGATGCAGAAACCAGGAGGAATTCAGGCTAAAGCTTTGAAATGAATGTTACCTTGTAGTATGTATGTCAAATTCCCAACTTCCTATGATTTATTACATTAAATACATTCATGTTGGGCTAAAATCCAAGCATTTCCAGGGTGCTGAGCACCCAGAACTGCCATTACTACAAGAGCAGCTGGACATGCTGCTTTTATTTCTGAAAAAAAAAAGGATGCAAATCAGGCCCTCAGTTCATCCCTGAGCATCTCCTGGGTGTCAGATGGCTGAGGATTTCACAGGATGTACAAGCTCACCAAGATGCTGAGCTGCATTTCTGCACAGTACGAGCATGAAAACGAATTCTGGGGTTTTGGATACACAACTTATTAACTTTGTGTCACCCACCAACAAACTATTTGACTTTTCTCAACCTTTTTTCTTCTCTGCGGGTTTCTAAAAACTCCAGAATTAATATTAGTTTGTAGTACATAAGAAATGGCTCTGAACTACCTCCCGTGTTGGCTGAGGTTTGGGCCAGGCTTTACCTGTTGGGCAATATGAGAGAGCTGAGCTGCCTGTAGGGTTGTACCTTGTACAGCTGCAGGCTGGGAAGGTGTCACGGAGCTGTTGCTGCTGCTCTTGTGCAGCTCTTCCATCATCAACTGCAAGGAAAGAAGCAGTCACATTCAGTCTGTGATCACCTGAACAGCAGGGGTCCAGCTTCCCCTGAAACTGTAGAGAATCTCAGTGCATGAGGCTTTCAACCTGATTGGGGCAACTTTCATTTTTTTAATTAGCTCTTTGGTGTCACTTGCAGCCAGGGTGCAGCATTTTTGTCACCTCCCTTTGATACCCTCAGCATTGTTGTGTCTTCTCAGGGGACAGACCCACCCCCTGCTGAAGTTTACTCTCAAATCTATTGACTGAATCTCCTGGATTTTCATGAAAACAAATTAACTCACCAGATCTAGGAAGAAAACCAGATGAAGGATTTATACTAAAGAGTATCTTGCTCTAAGGAAAATAATTCTCTGAAATATTTTACTCAAGCTCCCAGACAAACTATTTTAGAACATCTGAAGGTGTAGAAAACCAAAACGGTGTCAAAATCCAAGCACAGAGAACAGAGTTTTGAATTTTAAGCCCTGCAAAAGTCCCTCTGTCTCCATACAATGCAGTCAGTAACACTTCTCTCATTACTAGGATTTTATATTTAACTGTTTAACATGTCTTGCCAGCATCTTCCCTCCAGTATTGGGGGATTTAGTGATGTAAAAATGCATGGTTTTAGGTGGGGTGAGTGGGTGGACCAGCCTAGAGCACTAAAAGATGATCAGTGAGTGTTAAACATTTTGTCACAGAAGGTTTGAAACTGTTGAAAGGACAGTTGCTATGAGACTGGAAATTACATCTCTTTCTGTGGAAATGTGAGTCATTGATTTTTCCCTACTGAGATAAACCACAGCTCTTGCAGCCTGACATCTACTTAGAGGGTAAAAAGTCAGTGTAGACCAGGAGCAGGACCTTGTTCTTGCAATCCTTGCTCATCCTCGATGCAGAACTCCTGAGAGAAGTTACTGAACCAGGACTTGGTGGGGAGAAAAGTGATGGTTTGGGGATAGATGAAACAAGGAACAAACATTCTCTAATAGAGGACAGAGCTTCCCAACATCCTTCTGTCCACAACATAAAACAATTAATCCCCAGTTTAAACTGAAGCAGCTTTGGCTGAGATGATCAGAAAAGGAGCCACAATCTTCCCTCCCCATCTTCAGGAGAGGAGGATCCTGAGGGCACCTGCTCAGCTCCAGGCTGCCCAGGGAAACTCTCACATTGCCTTTTTCTCCAGCTGCTCCTGCTGCAGAACTGCCCAGGAGGCAGAAAAAACTCCTTTGGCTTCTTTCTTTTTTTGTCAAAGAATGACAACTGAGAACTAAAATAATTTAACCTTCTTGAAGCTATAAAAGATAATAAAAAAATCAAGAGCAGACTTAACAAGGAGCACGTACAAGAGATGCAACTTTACAAACCCTCTAATGTAGTTTTAGCTTTTTATAAAGGAAAAATCTACATTTTGTGCCTCTGCAAAGGCAGACAGGCCAAGTGTCCCAGGTAAACAGGGCACTGTCAAACTGAAATCCAGACAGCAGCAAAAATTAAAATAAATTTCCAGTGCTACAAAAACCCAATTCATTTCTGTAGTGCTAAACCACATTCTCTCTCTCCTCCCCCCTCTTTTGCTGTTTCTCTCTGTGTTGTTGTCCCATGAAAGCCTCACAACGGCAGCAAAAGTGGCTGCAAGATACAATGAAACCCATAGAGAGAAAACCACCAAAATAAACAGACTGGGGAGAAAGCACAAGGGTTTTTTTCTGATCTTTCTCTTGCAGGTGTGAAGTGCTACTTAAGAGGAATAAAAGACAAAGTATCTCCCATAATAAGGATGATTTTTCAAGTTCACTTCTTCTCTTCTTACTCAAATGCATGGTTTTAGGTGGGGTGAGTGGGTGGACCAGCCTAGAGCACTAAAAGATGATCAGTGAGTGTTAAACATTTTGTCACAGAAGGTTTGAAACTGTTGAAAGGACAGTTGCTATGAGACTGGAAATTACATCTCTTTCTGTGGAAATGTGAGTCATTGATTTTTCCCTACTGAGATAAACCACAGCTCTTGCAGCCTGACATCTACTTAGAGGGTAAAAAGTCAGTGTAGACCAGGAGCAGGACCTTGTTCTTGCAATCCTTGCTCATCCTCGATGCAGAACTCCTGAGAGAAGTTACTGAACCAGGACTTGGTGGGGAGAAAAGTGATGGTTTGGGGATAGATGAAACAAGGAACAAACATTCTCTAATAGAGGACAGAGCTTCCCAACATCCTTCTGTCCACAACATAAAACAATTAATCCCCAGTTTAAACTGAAGCAGCTTTGGCTGAGATGATCAGAAAAGGAGCCACAATCTTCCCTCCCCATCTTCAGGAGAGGAGGATCCTGAGGGCACCTGCTCAGCTCCAGGCTGCCCAGGGAAACTCTCACATTGCCTTTTTCTCCAGCTGCAGAACTGCCCAGGAGGCAGAAAAAACTCCTTTGGCTTCTTTCTTTTTTTGTCAAAGAATGACAACTGAGAACTAAAATAATTTAACCTTCTTGAAGCTATAAAAGATAATAAAAAAATCAAGAGCAGACTTAACAAGGAGCACGTACAAGAGATGCAACTTTACAAACCCTCTAATGTAGTTTTAGCTTTTTATAAAGGAAAAATCTACATTTTGTGCCTCTGCAAAGGCAGACAGGCCAAGTGTCCCAGGTAAACAGGGCACTGTCAAACTGAAATCCAGACAGCAGCAAAAATTAAAATAAATTTCCAGTGCTACAAAAACCCAATTCATTTCTGTAGTGCTAAACCACATTCTCTCTCTCCTCCCCCCTCTTTTGCTGTTTCTCTCTGTGTTGTTGTCCCATGAAAGCCTCACAACGGCAGCAAAAGTGGCTGCAAGATACAATGAAACCCATAGAGAGAAAACCACCAAAATAAACAGACTGGGGAGAAAGCACAAGGGTTTTTTTCTGATCTTTCTCTTGCAGGTGTGAAGTGCTACTTAAGAGGAATAAAAGACAAAGTATTTCCCATAATAAGGATGATTTTTCAAGTTCACTTCTTCTCTGCTTACTCTGCAATATTTAACTCACCATTCATCCACCATTTATGAATCTATGTAAAAGAATATTGATTAAAACCAAAGATTTAGCAAGTGATTTTAATGTTTTACATCCTCCCCTGGAGACAGGGGGTGGAACAGGCTCCTTGGCCTTGCGTGACTGTCTCACAAGCCTCTCATCCCTCTGTTGTGCTGAACCAACTCAGCTGGAAAAACACAACTATTCCACTGGAATGGCCTTCTGTGAACACCTGAACTGCCACCTCTCAGAAATACAGTTCCAAGGAAAAACCTGGACCTGTGCAAAGAACTATCAGAGACAGAAAATACCTGGGGGTTTCAGCTTGTTCCAGCCTAATTAAAGCTACTCCCAGCAACCTTAAAATACATTTGGCTGAAACCAGCTGCAGAGTTTGGGGTGAAAAAAGAGTTTTACATGTCAGTGCTGACAGGAGAGAATCCATAAAAGCAACCCCCTGATGGTTTACTAGCCTGACAATAATTACTGCCCCAATCTGTATGAAATCCATGTTTTTATGGTCAGATGGGTAAGGATAAGCAATGTCCCCATGCAGCTACATCTCAAAAGCAGTTTAACTGGAATGAAAGGGTCCTGCAGTAGCAGCATTCTGGAGTTCTGAAGGGCTTGAAAACTCCTGAGAATTGACTCTCTCCAGCCAAAGAAAGTGACCTCACTTGAAATGTGAATTTAAGTCTCCATCATCTTCTTTTCAAGCAGAAAGTTTCACTGGGGTGTAACTTTTCATCCCCAGGTTCATACACTCCCTCCTAACACCATGTTCCTTTCTTTGAACCCCCACCCAAGAACCAGTAAATAAACCCCAAGTGGCTGAGCACCAGTGACAAAAGAACAAACAAGTCAACAAGAAAACCCCATTCCCGAGACTTTTACTAATCCTGATGAAAAGTATCCTAAACCACTAAAAATACCCCACACTGCACCTGAGCAGCAACCACCCTCACCAGACTTCACTCTGAATCACTCTTGACTTCAGTTATTACCAGCTCACCAACACTCCTGGCCTCACTACTCTGTTTCTGCCTACAAATTACCTGAGAAACTCCTTGTCTCGAGCTAAATGCTCATAAAATGACTAAAATAATGGATTTCCAGCCTCAGATGAAACTTCAAAGGATCATCAGGAGGCAAAGAACACAATAATGGAATATAAAAAAGGCAAAGAGCAGTGAGCTGCAGGGAGAAACCAAGTTCTGTTTTGCCCTTTTCCATCTAGCAGAGAAAGACTTGGATGATATTTCAGTAGTGACATTTTTAAAAGAGTTTATAAAAGTCAGAAATCACAGAGAACTGGACATGAAATTCTATTCTCACATATTAAGTGATGGGAGTCAAATACTGACCAGTTACAGAAAGTAAAACATCTGTTGAAGTTACAGTCAAGAGGTCTCATGAAAGTTTGCACTCTTTGACATACCAGAATAAGCTGCTAAAGCTCCAGCAGTTCAAACACCCCTTACTGAATTTTGCACTTAAGACACTTAGGGAAAGTTGTTGTTTTTTTCAGAAGACTGACAGAAACTCCAGTTTTTTCCAGGAATCAGTGGAAGGCAGAGGACAACACTTCCTGCTCATGCCAAGAAACAAGTGAGGAAGCTTGAGTCAATGTGCCCAGTTAGGGTTTTGGATCCCACTCTCCAAACACACACAGGGCTACTCCTTAAAACTCCAGGGGCACTTTCCACATGTCTTTCCTTCCACTCTCCCCCCCCCTGCCCCTGCCATCCATGGTGAAACGAAACTTAGTGAGCAATCCCAGGACAAGTCGCCTCAGAAAGAAAAGCCCCCAGTCTTCAAAACGTTTGCAGCCTTATTGACAGCAGGGATCTCGATCTCTGGTGGGGGGGGGAAATATCTGTGGGATCATTTACGATGCACATCCCGCCGCCCTGAATCCCCGCGGCAGACCCGGCTCACGAAGCCGGGACTCAAATCAAAATTACTGGGGAAAAAAAAGGTCG